TTTGCTTGTCTGTAAAGATTTTGAATTCTCCTTCATACCTGACTGCGATCCTTGCTGGGTACAGCAATGTGGGTTGTAGGTTTTTTTCTTTCATCATGTTAAGTATGTCCTGCCATTTCCTTTTGGCCGGAAGAGTTTCTATTGAAATATCAGCTGTTATCCCTATGGGAATCCCCTTGTATGCTATTTTTTGTTTCTCCCTTGCTGCTTTTAATATCTGTTCTTTGTGCTTGATCTTTGTTAATTTGATTAATGTGTGTCTTGGGGTGTTTCAACTTGGATTTATCCTGTTTGGGACTCTCGGACTTGGGGGACTGTTTCCTTCCCCATTTTAGGTAAGTTTCCAACTATTAGCTCCTTAAGTATCTTCTCACAGCCTTTCTTTTTGTCTTCTTCTTCTGGGACTCCTATGATTCGAATGTTAGGGTGTTTAACATTGTCCCAGAGGTCTCTGAGGTTGTCTTCATTTCTTTTTATTCTTTTTTCTTTTTTCCCCTCTGCTTCATTTACTTCTACCATTCTATCTTCTACCTCACTTATCCTATCTTCTGCCTCTGTTATTCTACTGTTGATCCCCTCCAGAGTGTTTTTGATCTCATTTATTGCATTATTCATTATTGATTAACTCTTTATTTCTTCTAGGTCCTTGTTTTTTTTTTTAATTTATTTATTTATTTTTTTATCACAACCATAGTGTATCTTTTTTTTTTTTTTTACATGTATTCCCCATCCCGGTCCCCCCTCCCTAGGTCCTTGTTAAACATTTCTTGCATCGTCTGAATGCTTGTCTCCAGGCTATTTATCTGTAACTCCATTTTGTTTTCAAGATTTTGGATCATTTTTACTATCATTATTCTGAATTCTTTTTCAGACTCCCTATCTACTCTTCTTTTGTTTGGTTTGGTGGGCATTTATCACGTTCCTTTACCTTCTGAGTATTTCTCTGTCCTTTCACCTTGTTTAGATTGTTGTGTTTGGGGTGGCCTTTCTGTATTCTGGCAGTTTGTGGTTCCTCTTTATTGTGGAGGTTCCTCACTGTGGGTGGGGTTGGACAGGTGGCTTGTCAAGGTTTCCTGGTTAGGGAAGCTTGCATTGGTGTTCTGGTGGGTGGAACTGGATTTCTTCTCTGTAGAGTGCAATGAAGTGTCCAGTAATGAGTTTTGAGATGTCAGTGCATTTGCTGTAACTTTGGGCAGCCTGTATCATGAAGCTCAGGGCTATGTCTCTGCATTTCTGGAGAGTTTGCATGGTATGTCTTGCTGTGGAACTTGTTGGCTCTTGGGTGGTGCTTGCTTTCAGTGTAGGTATGGACGCTTTTGGATGAGGTCTTATTGATTAATGTTCCCTGGAGTCAGGAATTCTCTGGTGTTCTCAGGTTTTGGACTTAAGCCTCCTGCCTCTGGTTTTCAGTCTTATTCTTACAGCAGCCTCAAGACTTTTCCATCTATACAGCACCAGTGATAAACCATCTAGGTTAATGATGAAAAGCTTCTCCAGAGTGAGGGACACACGAAGAGGTTCACAGAGTTACATGAAGAGGAGAAGAGGGAGGAGGGTGATAGAGATGACCAGGAGGAGAAGAGGGGGAATCAAAAGGAGAGCGAGAGCATGCTAGCCAGTAATCAATTCCCTATGTGGTCTCCACAGTCTGGACCTCTCAGAGAGGTTGACAGAGTTACAAGGAGAAGAGAATAGGGAGGAAAGAGACAGAGGTGACCAGGAGGAGAAAAGGGGGAATCAAAAGGAGAGAGACAGATCTAGCCAGTAATCAGTTCCCTAAGTGTTCTCCACAGCCGGGAACACACAAACAGGTTCACAGAATTAGGTAGAGAAGAGAAGGGAGATGGAAGAGATAGAGGCAACCTGGTGGAGAAAAAGGAGAGTCAAAAGGGGGAGAGAGCAATCAAGCCAGTAATCACACTCCCAACCAAAAATGGGTGCTGAAGATTGGGTTCTTAAAGGTATAAAATTGATAACAAATACCAAAAAGCAAAGATTAAAAATTTACAGTAGAGGTTAGACTCTCAAGAATACAATATTAAAAAATCAAAACAAAGTCAGAAAAATTATAAAATATATATATAAAGTTTGCATTAAAAGCAAGGTCTTTTTTTTTTGCATGTAAAAGTAGGTTATAAAAATGAAAATTAAAGGTGTAATAGAGGACTTAAATATAAAAATTTTTTTTTAATTTAAAAAATGATAATAGTAAAAAAATATCTAGGAATTTCTCTGGAGCCATTGCAGGCAGTGTGGGGTCAGTTCAGTTTCAGATATTTCTTGACCCAGTTTATACTTCTCAAGACCTCTAGGCCCCTTCCAATTAGTCGGTGCTAACTACAGGGCTTCAATCTGTTGCACCTGTCACTTCCAAAGCAGTTCCCTCTCTTTGTTTTAGCTTCTTCTGTTTGCTAGTCTCTTCAGTGTCTGATTTCCGGCCTGACAGAAGGGGGCAAAGGTGGTCACTTATTTTGGCTCACTTATTCAGTCATACTGTGGGGAGGGAGGAACACCGTGAACAAATATCACTGGCATGTGTGGGAAGTGCTTGCAGTGTCTCGGCTGCACTGAGTTTATCGCCACTCACGGCAAGTGTGCTTTCCCAGTCTACACTTCTGAGGCTCTAGGTTCCTCTGCTGGGGAGCTGTCTGAGGCGGGCCCTGGGTTGCGTGCACTTCCCAGGTCTGAGCCACTCAGGTTCAGGTTCTTGGGTACTCCACAAAGGTGCAGAATCAGTTGGGCCTGCAGTGTTTGCCCTTCCCGGGGCCGAGCGGCTCAGGTGACCAGGGGCTTGGCTAGCACAGTCTCCCCAGGTGGGGAGTGCGTCTCATCACCTCCCCATCCCAGCCCCCAGCCGCTTGGTTTCCTGGGTGGCAGTGGGCACGCCCATCTCAGGTGTGCCTTGTGTCTCTTCTGCACAGCTCATCTCTGACTGCGCCCCTCCCGGTGGATGTCAACCGTCCAGAATCCCAAGAAGTCTTGGTTAACAACCGGGGACCTGCTTGCAGTTTGGTAGAGGATGCCTCTCTGGGGCAGGGATTGCCCCTTTCTGGTTCTGGTTGACCCTGCCTGCCTCCCTGTCTCTGGCGGGGGATGGGCCGATCCGCAGCTGGCTAGCTCTCCTCTGGTATTCCCTCAGTCCTTTGTTTTGTGAGTGGGCCTGGCAGTGCCTTAGGTTAGAGCTTTTGCAGGATAGTTCTCTCTCTCTCTCTGTTTTTTTCCTCTCTCCTTCTGGCTATCCCACAGTTTGGGTTGCTATCTCACGTTAGTTCCCTCAGATTGCCCTCAGGGCATTCAGGCCCAGTCCTTACCCTAAGCAACGCAGCCTGCGTGTCCTTGTTCAGCCACTTGCTGGTGGTGGATGTGAGCGCTGGGAGTTGTCATAGGCATGTAGGCATGTAATTTATTTATTTTTCCTCCTGGTTATGTTGCCCTCTGAGATTCCAAAACTCCCCACAGACCCGCTGGTGAGAGTGTTGCCTCCTGTTTGGAAACTTCTCCTCTTTTAAGCCTCCCTTCCTGGGACGGATCTCCATCCCTACCTCTTCTGTCGATCTTTTTATCTTTATATTTTGTCCTACCTCCTTTTGATGACAATGGGCTGTGTTCTGGGTGCCTGATGTCCTCTGCCAGCATTCAGAAGTTGTTTTGTGAATTTGCTCAGCGTTCAAATGTTCTTTCCATGAATTTGTCAGGGAGAATGTGGTCTCCCTGTCCTATTCCTCCGCCATCTTAGGACTGCCCCCGAAAATGGTAATGAAACCCAATGCAATATTACCCAGCCATTAAAATGAATGAAATAATGCCATTTGCAGCACCATGGATGGACCTAGGGATTATCATACTAAATGAAGGAAGCCAGACAGAGATAAGCAAATAGAATACAATATCGCTTCTGTTTAGAATCTTTTTTTTTTTTTTAAAGGTCCAAATAAACTTATTTACAAACCAGAAAGAGACTCACCGACATAGAAAACAAACTTATGATTATCAAACGGGAAAAGGGGGAAGAGGGATGAATTAGGAAGTTTGAATTAACAGGTACACACTACCATATATAAAATAGCTAAACAATAAGGACCTAGTGTACAGAACAGGGAACTGCACTCAATATTTTGAAATAACGTATAAGGGGAAAGAACCTGAAAAAGAAAAAAAGAAATAACTGAATCACTTTGCTGTGTACACCTGAAACTAACATAACATATAATTCAATCTTTAAAAATATCTTAATTAAAAAAGCAAAACAAAAAACAAACAAAAAGCCCTCATTTAAACTGGACTAAGAACTTGCACATGGATTGTTTCTACATTTGAGCCCATGGTGCAAGTATCATAGGCATATAAAGTATGCCTGGAAAACCTTTACCCTTTATACACTGAAGGATCAGAAGTGGAAGTTTATTTATTTAGTCTGTGCTGAGTCTTCGTTGTTGCGTGAAGGCTTCCTCTAGGTGCAGTGAGTTTGGGCTCCTCACTGCGGTGGTTTCTCTTGCAGAGCACAGGCTCTAGGCACACAGGCTCAGAAATTGTGGTGCATGGGCTTAGTTGCCCTGTGTCATGTGGGATCTTCCCGACCCAGGAATCAAACTGGAGTCTCCTGCGTTGGCAGCCGGATTCTTTACCATCATGTCACCAGGGAAGCCCAAAATATACACTACTATATATAAAATAGGGAACTAATAAGGACCTAGGGGGAATTCCCAGATGGTCCAGTGGTCAAGACTAAGTCCTTTCTAGGCAGGGAAAAGGGGTTCAATCCCTGGGTGGGGAACCAGGTCCCACATACCCCGAGGCTTGGTTTACACCAACATTGAAGGGACCTACTGTATAGCACAGGGAACTCTAGTCAATACTTTGTAATGGCCTATATGGGAAAAGAATCTAGGAAGAGTAGATATACATATAAATGTATAACTGATTCACTTTTTTTATACACCTAGAAATAACACAACACTGTAAATCAACTATAATTTGATAAAATTTTAAAAACATACAGTTTACGTTTTTCTGATAAGATTAGGCAATACTGAGTTCTTCATGTACAGAAAGCAGAGACTGGATACAATGGAGTCACGGCTCATGAGCAGAAAGGGGCTGATAAAGGGAAAACACACAGAAATCAGGCCAGTTGTATACACCAACCATGAACCGGGATTATGATAAAGAGCAAAACTAACATTAAAGATGCAGGACAGGGTGTGGAAACACATGAAGGTGCTCGCCAAGAGTAGGATGCTTTGGGTGGCTCTGGACTCAGCGGAGGATCTGGGAGACACACTAGCCTTGTGAATATACAGGACTCGCTGACTGTGTCTGTACAGGGTGAGAATCATGGAGCCACTGGCCCAGAAGATGAGCACAGAAAATGACATTTCAGGGAACACTATCAAAGCTACATATATTGAGCCTGAGATTTTCTCAAGATCTGTGTCAGAACAGTACCCCGAATCTCTTGTATTTCTCATGTTTGTGCTGTGCCTTTTGTCAGAAACATATAATGCATACAGAGGAAAAAAGAGATGTACAAACATGCACTGGATCCAACAGAATGAAATGAAGAAGGCGATGTACTTTGGGGCTTTGACTTTAAGATTCTTCCAACAGGAGTTCATGGGGCTGATCGTGATGGTCTGAAACACACTCAAGATGCAGGTGGTGCCGATGGACATACTCCTGCCCACTCTCTCAACATATAAAATAAGTTTGCAGGCAAAATCACTAGCAAAATGTTTCAACCTCAAAGTTGTAATTGTCTGAGGGACTCCTTTCGAGAGCATGACCAAAATGTTGGCAATAGCCAGGTGATTGCAAATCAAAACTGTGACCCTCATCCTGCACTGAGTGTGGTAAAGAGAGAGGTGATGGTACAGAAGGGAGAAGTTGCCCCAGATTCCAAGCACAGTTTGTAACAAGAAGGTTATTCCTATGGCCAGTTGGCTGGAGGCTGTTGTGTCATTCAAGATACTCCCCTTTAAATGATGGCAACAGTGATGCCTTAGAGCAGGATGGTTTATATAAATCTGTGACATCGACAGCCAAATTTCCTTGTGTGATTTGTGAAATTGCCAAGGCTTCATGTGGCAGCAAACGATGATGAGAGGATCAGTATATTTTATGAAAAAGTCAGCAGGATGGATGAAGTGGTGGTAACCTGGAGGCAGCAATGACAACTGAGAGTAAATGGAAAGATAACATGAAACAACACTTTAAGAAGAAGCTTACTGGAGGGAAAAATATCTCCATCACCGCCTTCATCATAAAAGAGGTCAATTCTAAATGCATCCCCTTCTAAATTTTAAAGAAGATTATATATTATTATTGTAGGGGCTTCCGTGATGACTCAGTTCGTAAAGAAAATCTGCCTTCAATGCAGGAGACCCCGGTTCAATTCCTGCATCGGGAAGATCTGCTGGAGAAGCCATAGGCTTCCCACTCCAGTATTCTTGGGCTTCCCGTGTGGCTCAGCTGGTATTTAAAGAAGATAATGTATTATTTTAGAAAAAAAACAGGAGTTATTCTAGGGTCTTAGAATTTAAAATATATGCTAAAGGTACTTCCCTGGTTGTCTGGTAGCTAAGAATCTGCCTTGTAAAGCAGGGAGCACAGATTTGATTCCTGGTTGGGCAACTCAGACCCTATATGCCACGGGGTAACTAAGCCTGGGATCTGCAACTAGAGAGTCTGTGCACCACAACAAAAAATCTTGCATGATACAACAAGGCTCCTGTATGATGTAACTAAGACCAAATGCAGCTAAATAAATAAATATTTAAAAAATATATATACACTAAACAGAACAGAGTATATAAAACATGTGGTGAAGTAACTTTTGCACACATGAAAATTAAGACCTGTTTTCTCATCAATGCACATACACACACAAAGATGCAACTTAGAACCACACAAGCATGTCCTAAAAACCACAATATAGAATATATAGTATATAGAGTCTTTCAAGAGAATCCTCGAGAAAGAATTTATTCAATGGATAAGACATGTGGAAAAATATTCCACATCCTTGGCAATCAGGTCAATTGAAATATACCGCTGCCTATATGTCATCAAATACCATCAAGAAATCTGAAACAGAAATGACAGAAATGCTATGTTTTGGCATAGCTGTGGATGAACCAAGAATCTTGTACACTGATGGTTGGTGTTCAAATTGGTACACACATTTTGGAAAACTGTTGTTATCTACTTAGCAGATCAGTTGTAATCCTGTTCTGAGAAATCTGCTCCTATGAGTATACGCAATAGAATTTTGTACATGTATCACCCAAGGATTAGTTATATTAATAGAATTTATATGAGAGCCCTAATTATTCTTGTAATAGCCCCTAACTCTTAAAACCCACCTATCGATTAACAGTTGAATGATCAATTAATCCTTTTATAGTCACAGAATGAAGTCCAATATAGCAATGATAATGAAAAGACAACAATAATATAAAACAATACAGATAAAGTCACAAAGATGGAATGGAGGAGAAAGTCCAAGTGAAAGATGTTGTATGATTTCTTTCATGTGGAGGCCAAGAGAGGCCAAGTGACCCAATATTAAATGTCATAATAGTTGTAATCGTATACTGAATAATCCAGGCCTACAAATATACCTAACAAAGCTATAGCCTTGGAAACAGTGAGTTAGAAAGGGCACAAGAGAGTTTCATGGAAACTGAGAACATTCTGTTTCTTGATCTAGTTGTGGTTTCCAGATGTGCAATAATTCCTGTTATTTCACTGAGTTTCGCACGTATAACCTGCGAACATGCCTTTAGTATTTAAAAACACATGTATTGTGAAGAAATGTGGAAGGAGCTTGGGAAAGCCTGTGTCTGTGAATGTGTCTCATCTGTGTCTGCCAAGGAGGGGAGCTGTAAGCCCAGATCATAACTCCAACAATGAAACATCAGAGAATAGTAACACTGCTGCATACAGTGAATCACTGATTTTGTCATAAAATTCAGCTGATCAGTATCCTAAGTCTTCATGCTTTGTGTTGATGTGTTGTTCCATTTGGCATCATATCCATGGGGAAAATAATGTTTACACAGAGATATGACTTGTGACCACACAATCTTCTCCTAAAGACCAGGAAATATAATGGACAGTTGACATAATCTTCAAACAGAAACTTCAAGAAAGAAGTTACATACTGTCCAGTAGTGCAAAGTGGAGACCCTGATATGCTCAGGAGATTTATTTTTTAAGAGGATTTTATTTATTTTATCCTATTCATTTATTTATTTGGCTGCACCAGGGCTTAGTTAATGGTATGTAAACTCTCAGTTATGGCATGCAGCTTCTACTTCCCTGACCAGGGTTTGAACCTGAACCCCCTGCATTGGGAGCACAGTGTTAACCTCTGGACCACAGGGAAGCTTTTTCTTTAAGTTCCACCCACCTGGATTTCCTGGGGCTGATCTTGATGGCTGGAGACACTTAAGGGCAGTGGTTCCAATGGACACACCCTGCCAGCTCTGGAGGCATAGAGACCACATTTGCATGGCTAAATCCCTGAAGACAGGCTTCAGTTAAAGGCTGCTGTTGTCATGGAGATGCTTTTAAAGTGAATGACCAAAAAGTGACTCCAGTCCTGTGCCTGAAAGTTAATCTGTGTACCTCAACTCACATTCAATGTAGTGTAGGAAGAAATTAAGATAAAGAGAAAAAATGCCTAGGATTCCAACTATAGTCTGAGATGAGCACACCATTCTTAATGCCAGCTCCCATTCTGCCAGTTGTTTGATGTACATAACTGCATGGGGTAGGTACTGGCACTGATTTATTGCAAAGATAAGGAGATCCTAGGTACAGAGAGGTCAGGTGATCTGTCTAAATTCACATGCTGATTACAGGCTGAGTTGCGGTATGAACCTTGTAGGCTGAGTTCAAGACAGTGGCCTAACTACTGTGATGCACCAACCAAGCACATCAGCTGTTTTTGAATAATCCAGTGTGAAACTTAGTTTTGTTTTTATATAATACAGTTAATTCTATCAGTTCAGTCCAGTCACTCAGTTGTGTCTGACTATTTGCAACCCCATGGACCGTAGCACAGCAGGCTTCCCTATCCATCACCAACTCCTAGAGCTTGCTCAAAGTCATGTCCATTGAGTCCATGATGCCATCCAACTGTCTCATCCTCTGTTATCCCCTTCTCCTCCTGCATTCAATCTTTCCCTGCTCAGGGTCTTTTGCAATGGGTCAGTTCTTCTCATCAAGTGGCTAAAATATTGGAGTTTATTCCATACCTTTTATATATGATAATTTTGGTTGTAAATAGTTTCCATAACTGCATAAGTATTTATTCTGTAGGTAAATAACATATCAAGAAGATTCCCTGGATTGGATATGGCAACCCACTCCAGTATTCTAAGTGGGTTCTTAGGAAATCCTAAGAACAGAGGAACCTGGAACAAGGAACCTTGTCTGTGGGGTCACAAACTGAGCCACTAACACACATACACACAAACTTATAGGAAAGTACTTCCTGCCCATATTAGATATAATGAACGCAAGATTTCCTCAATATAAGTTTTGCAACAGAAAGGTATATTCCTCTCATGCCAGGCACAAATTCACTATGGTATCTATCAAAAAAGACTTGGACAATATTATTTTATTTAAAAAACTATGAACATGAATTACTACTAAATGATAAATGAGTATAGGATAGAAATGAAATAATTATTTTTGTCTAAACCCTTAGGTATTTTTTAAAATCAAGGTTAGGTGAGACAACAATATAACTTGATTTGTGAAGAATATTAATATATCAGGCACATGTAAAAGTATAATCTGGAAAATATTGACTCATGTTGCAAAGGTGGAAGCATAAAGAAATGAAGGTGTGTTTGGAATTGGTGTTAGAATATGAGATTAGACAACATATGAGAATATACATTTGGTCCTGACAACTATATTCCAAATCTCACCGTTATAAAGCTGCCTTTTCCTGAAATGCTGCTTCTCTATCTTGAAGAGGGATAGCAATCTCGCCACTGTTATCAAACCTCAAGTGTTTCAGATAAGCATGTTATATGCCTAGAGTTAGATATATATGTAAAAAATCCCTTCTGTTCTTCAAACATATTCATATTTATGCTTTCTGTAGAGGATTAGAAAATCATTGCTTTTCTATGCTAGTCTTTATGGAAAGCATAAAGGCATTATGATAACGCTTTTAATACAAATTTAAAATTAGTCTAGAATTTCTGAAAGGTAATGTTACAGCAGATTAAACTTGAAAATACAACCCTTAAGCTGCGTCAACATGATGTTTTAGCACTTCCCAGTGTCCAGTGGCCAAGACTCAGCGCTCCCAATGCAGGGAGCCTGGGTTTGATTCCTGGTGAGGAAAATAGATCCCACATGCTGCAACTAAGAGCTCACATGCTGCAAGTAAAATAAGTACTTTTAAAAATAATCCTCATTATTATCAATAGGATTGTTCCTTGAGTCCTCCACTGTAAGAGTTTCACAAATAGCTTTAGGAGCTGTCAGGTTCGATGTTGCCTGATGCTGGGAAAGACTGAAGGCAGGAGGAGAAGGGGACGACAAAGGAAGGTGATGTCCATTGAGTCCATCACCGACTCAATGGACATGAGTCTGAGCAAACTCTGGG